ATTTCCAAACGCGCGCTGTCGCGCGCTTAAAATCTATTTTTCAGTAATCTAATAACATAAGTAGGAGGGCTAAAAGCAATTCATGAAGAGGAGAGATTTTTAGAAGAAATTGGCTTTTTTCCATCTCGCATTGAGCACTATGGAACACTAATAAACCAGCTCCCATTGTGCACATAGAAAATTGCGGAAAGCCTATGGATTATTTGAAGAATTCTCTTTATGTGTAAGGTAACGTGTAAGCAAATTGTTTTATTCTATACAGAAATGTACTTTTTTTACTTTAAACAATATTTGTGCTTCTAGACCTGCTACAGGACAATGAACCAGCACATAAAATTTGGAGAGCGTTTATTAAAAAAATGCGTTTAACTTGAAGAGGCAGCTTTGGCTTTTAGCACTTATTGGCTCTGTATACTCAGTAATCTGCAACAAAACTCCTGATGTGAAAGGTATTTAAACACTAATAATAGTGCAATGAGCTCATATAGACAATGTAGCTTCAGTACGACCGTAATCTACTACAGTAAGCCGTAGGTTCTGCATGCTGCTGCTGCAGTGCGAGTAATGCACAGTCCAGCTTCAAACACCTCTGCTACATTCCCAGCTTGAACAAGTAAAACTAGGATCTTTATACGTGTAATCTTCATGAACACTTGCAAAACTAAGCATTGTCTTCTTTGGGAAGTAGAGAGGAGGACTACAAAAATGTTGGTGATAAGAGGCATCTTATGATAATTTGTTTCTTATTTAAAAAAGTAGCTGTGTAAGAATGTTCCCGACATTTTTATGGCTTTCTTGATGACAACGGTTGCAGTATATCTTTGAATATATGTGGAGGTCATGGGCGTTCCTGGCATTCTCTTTAGAAATTAATTGTTGACAATACAGTGCAAGGAACGCTTGCGACCTGTTGAGCATAAACCTTTCCAATTCGTGACGACTGGGCTCTAGGAGAGTTTGAATGTCTGCAATCCTACTGGTTGTCTTTCGTGCTGCTTTAGCTTTATGAAGATCTAACTAATAACAGAAAGATTTGAGATCCTATAACTG